CCCACATTCCTGCTCAGGAGCTGGAGAAGGCATTTGCTTCCCCAGCTGCTGCTCCAACAGACCGTTAATTTGCTCCTTCTTCTGTTCCCTTTTCTGTTAAGGGGGTGGGGGGAAATCACAAACCAATATTTGAAACTTTTTTTTATGCAAACCACTAACAATCTACAAAAATGTTGCAGAATTGTGAAATGTTGTAGAATAAGTATAAGGGATTTTCAAACACAGTAAATATATAATTATCAGGAAACCTGTTTCCCACCCATTCAATAGGACTATACAATAACAACAATATAACAATTAATATTTTATTATATTATAAAAATTAAACATATATTATTATTCCAATGATTTTAATGTAAAATAAAAGATGTCTTTAATAATTTCACAGAACAAAAGTACAATACTAATATTCGTGTTGGTTTCAATTTCTTTGCTTTTAAAGGTTAACCATTTTTATTTTGTCAGAAAAATTAAGGTAGATCTCATGGCTTCTCTTTTGTTGACAAAAATGAATAAACTATTCTCTTTTAACATTTGGGAAGATTACAAAAAAAAATGTAGGGACAAATTTAAAACTGCATAACAGACAGGACACCAACCTTCTTGCTAACGGTGCAGCGATGACACATCCAGTCGCCAGGGGGCAGCATTTCTCTACTCAATGGTGGGTTACTGAGGAAATGTAAACAAAGTCAGAGTTAAAACTACAGGCTTCATTTAGCACAGAGCAAACATACACACAGTTACAGTATGCACAGCCATTTAATACTACAATGAATTATAATGGGACAGCAGACCTGCTTTATACTTTAGCCTTTGAAAAAAAAACAAAAAAACATGATACTATAACTTTGGCAGTTTCTCAAACCAGGCCCACGTTATACAAGACATGTTTTAAAAGAGGCGATTTTGAATAAACCATCTATACCCAACCGGCATAGAGAGGGTAAATAAATACCTCACTCTGTAAGAAAGGAGTCTTCTGTTTTCTAATGCATTGCACACGTGCAAACAGATCTATGTCCAAACATTTCTGTTCTACTGATGGTTTAAAATAAATCAGTAATGAAACTTAAAAGCACCAGGCTCTCAGACTCTATATTACTTCAGCAACTGTGTAAAAACATAGCAAATAAAAACCTGTTCTAACTTTATTTCCCCACAGTTCTTTCAAATATCTGATTCATCTAAACATACAAAAAACCTATTAAAAGACCTTGACATGCTAATGTAGTTTCTTTTTGAAGCACATCTGATCAATCCCAGAAACTTTGAAACTTAGGAACTACACAGATGAAGTGTGGCAGATTTCCAGTGGCCCGTGGGCCACGTAGCACCAGCTGCATGTGTTTCTCCACACACACATGGAATCATTTCACCTCCCAAACAGACAGAATAAACAATGAGAAAATATGGAGGGGAAATTGAAATTCAAACATCCTCCAATGCAGCTGACCAACTACAGCATGAAATGAGTTTAAAGTCATAATAAAACAGAAATAGCATCAGATAGCGACACTGTGACGTACATCCGACTGTAACAGACTACCATAAGAAAAAAAATGTATGGCAGGGACTTGATTCTATGCATAAGTTGTTGATTGAATTTTGAGATGTGGACATTGCAGATGAGCGTTAAAACGCAAAGCAAAGTTTAGGTGGACTAAATGATTGGAGAAGCCCTGCATACGTCGCCAGAGAGAAAAAATAAAACATGCACGGACGAATTGTTCACAATAAAATCTATAACATGCATTTAGAAAACAGATATGGTGAATTTTCATTTCATGCTGACATTAATAAATGAAGCCAATCACAGATCTTCAGCGGATCTGCAAACATCTGACAAACTGACTCAAATGATTAAGGGAAATCCATCTCGTAATCTCAAACTCTCCATAATGGAGACATGGTCGAGGCCTTCAGATGTCCATGGTTATTGATTATTTATCAGCTCCCTGCTTGAGCTTTTCCATGCTCATGCAAGAAACATCAGACAGCATATAAATAAACCCCAGCACCCATGCTGTTCCATCTGGAGATGCAAGAAACATCAGCCAAATCTGATGGACGTCTAGTTGTAACCAAAATGACAGTCCTGGGCCCAATTTTGTCCCAGCTCCAGCATCACACACACCAGCACTGTAGATGGAAGGCAGCGGGGCAGTGATCACAACACAGCAGGTCCCCTCCTTCCCGGCAGCTGTCGCAGGTATCATGATTGCTGGCCCTGCCGGCTCTCCTGGTGCTCCTGTCTGGTTTCCTGGTCCTCTTCTCTCCATCTTCAGACTTGGGCGGCGCCAGCAGAGTCTGGATTTGCTGCAAGAGGAAAGCGAGAGATTCAGAAACTCATTAGTGAAACATCTGCACGCTTGTTACATCACATCAGCCGCTCGAGCCATTGTTGGGCCGAGACCGTGAACTCGCGCGCGCCCCCATATGAAAGGAACCTATGGAATGGATGGCATTAGCGAGCAAGAGCGGGTTAGCGGCTACTTTGAGAATGTTAACCGGTCAGTGAAGAGAGAAATAAACGAGTCTATGAGTGTGTTTAACTTACCTCCATCAGCCCGCCGGAGGTATCCAGATCGTACACGATCGTCGGGTTCTCCATTTTTCCCCACATCAACACCAGCCCCAACTGGTTCCGTTTCCCTCAGCCACTACACCCCGACTCCTGTCAGAATGATGAATAGCGTCTGACCTCCAAAACAGCCGTAGAATTCCCGCCCGTGTCTGTTGTGGCTCCGCGCGGGCTCTCCGTTAATCGAGCAGGCGCACGGAGGCCTCTATCCCCGGTGCTGTGCGAGACTCCGGCCCGGCAAGAGAAGGAATAATAAAGAACCAGAAATTACCATCAAGTCCATGTCGCAAAGACGTCAAACATCAAGCCCCCCGAAGAACAATTCCTCCGAGGAACTGGCAGCGACGAAAATCAAACGTTTTTCTCCCAGTGAAAGAACGACTTAACGGCGGAGCTGTTGTGATGAAGGAACGCTCGCGTTAACTGACGCACAAACCTGTGTGCGCATGCGTCGCCCCGTCAGTAGAGATGGGAATCCAATTCATTTAGAGAATCGGTTCGCTTCAGTGAACCGGTTCAGTAGAATCAATTCAGTGATTTGCCATAGTTGATGTTTATGTACTATTTAATATTCTCTATAATAATTACATTTTTAATAAATATTTATATCATACACATTTTAAGTACTGTTCTTAATGACTTTGCATTGTTTATAGTTTCAACATTTCACCCACCTCACAATTTTACAACCAAAGTTTTCTCCACAGAAAAAAGAAAGTAATATATTTGAAATTAACACGAGGGTGAGTAAATGATGACAGATATTTAACCTTTGGGTAAAGCATCCATTGTTTACGGTCAAGTGATTTACAAACGCTTTGCGAATCGGTTCGAATGAATCTTTATAAGGAGCCTGTTCAAAACAATGATTCTTTCGCGGTCGGGCATCACTACCATCAACGGTGGAGCCATCTTGCGCTTTCCTCCGTTTTTAAAAACCTCTCTGTCGATGCGGTCATTGTGGGAACCGACAGTATGTCCTTTTTGTGGGTGTGAGGAACTTGTTTAATACATCAACCGATGAGGTTTAGAAAGCAGATGCCATTATCCGGTTTGTTTACGTGTTCGAGCCTCTTTGTATTGTGAGGGAAAATTCAAGCCTCTGATTGGTCCGTTTCGTCGCCGGCGTGACATGAACCAATGCGCGAAACGGAAGAAAATGAAGCAAATTCCTTATGATGGGTTTGGAATGAGCCAGCGTTAAAATCACCAGTAAGCACTGAAAAATGGCGATGAACAATTATACAGTCATTTTTTT